CATAGATCTATTTTCATGTCTCTATCCTCACAGGCATCTTACGTCCCCCTATCTGTAACCATTAGGCATTTCTACATAATGAAGGCGGATCGGGGTGTTCTGCTTCACTTGTGAGACTAATTTTCCCTATGTGCGCTGCACTCACTACCATTGCATCTAATAGATATACTATTTAGATCTTTTGCCACCATGGCAAGGTATCGAGTTCATATGCCGTAAATTTTTGCTTTTTCTGTGCTGTTGCTTTGGTTTCTTTCATCGCTTTTTCTTTTGATAACCTCGCCCGGTGTTTGCGCAACCGGTCACCTCGACGATTCCGGGTTTCTGAAAGGAGCTAGCATTTTGGCTTTCCATGCCATGCGGTTCTATAGATATTTTAATTTATGATGGATTAAATCTGCTATGTGATTTCGTTGTGAACTTAGCTTGTCATAGCTCTAATGTAAGCAGAGCTTGTTGCTTATTTCGGCTTATGGCAGGTAATACTCGTATCCATGCTCATTTACTCAAAAACCAACAGAAGTTTTTCTTATCCTTAACACTGATGTCCTTACAGTGGGTTATTCACAACTATGATCCAATTTCCGGTCTTCTTCAGTCACTTCGGTACGGGATGATCCGGAGTCTAGATTCCAGATTGTATGCAAAGTAGTTCTTTGACCCTAGAGCGAGGACAACCCCACTGTTGGTCTCAAGAGTTAGACTCACTGCGAAAAGCTTGCAGGGAGCAGTCCAACAAGGCAAATAAGCTGTATCACCTCCCTGAGTAGCAAAGATATGAACCGTTTCTGCGCGTTTAAAAGAATGTTTTGCGGGAAGCCAAGAGGTATTCCTGAGGGGAGTTCATAGAGGCTGCTTCCAAGACTTCCACATTAAGAAAAATTCTGTCGAGATCCTTGAACCCGATCGGATGTTTGCAGAAGTAAGACGGTTCCTGAACCACGACACTAATGGAAACTACAGAAATGCTCCTATGCACACATTTCCCAGGGAGTTCGCAAACAAGGGAGCGAGGGGCTTTGGCAATGTAAATGTTCAATTCCTATAAAGCGGCGGGGTCGGATGGAATTACTGCTGGCTGCGACGCTTGATACTTCTCTAAAATGGCTAGTGAACATTTTGATGGACCGTTACATACCGACGGCGTGGAAATCTGTCTCCGCTGTCGTTATTGCTAAAGCGGATAAGGCCTCACATACAAATCCAAAGTATCTCAGCCCTATAAGCCTTTCTTCCTTTATGTTTCAAACCCTAGAGAGGATAATATGCAGCTACCTATATTTCACAAATGACAGTCGACTACTGTCTAACAATAAACATGCCTACCTCAAAGATCGCGGAGAGTGCAAAGTGATCACGGCAGTGGGGTGTGCTCTTGCCACTCCTTTTGAACTTAACCGTGAAGTCCCACTTACGAGAGACGAAATAGGGAAGCGCCAAGGTTGTCGCTTATGCGGATGAACTGCCGCAAACTCAGTGCGACTTGATGCAGGGGGCACTTCGCGATGTATCAAGGTGGTCCACGCGTTGTGTCCTCTGCGACAATTCGGAGAAAGTGGAACTTGTTCTATTTATGCGAAGATACAGAACTCGGCTACTGGCGCTTTACAAATAACAGCCCAGCGTTATCAGAACGCGTGTGTGCATGAGGGTTTTTCGTAAGAAATTGGCGCTGTATTTATATACCAACCAAGCAAAAAAAATAAAAAATCTTCCGCGCGAGCCAGAGATGGATGCAAACTACGACCTGTCATATTTCTAGGCAAACTTGGCCTAGCTGGAATCGAATAGGGTCTCAAAGATTATATTCTCTAAAGAGGGAGGGGATGTATCCACACAATTGGTGCTCTCACAGGCCACTGTCGTATAGGTAAACACGAAGAATGGCTCGGAGCGCCTTACCATAGATGATGCAGAAGTTACAAAAACTATGCAGTTAAGCGGTCCGGTAAGTTGCAAGAAATTTCACAATGGGTGATCAGCAGGGTTTTTCTTACTTTTTTCCTTTTTACTTTCGTTCGCTTGTACTTAACATGAGCAATTATCCCCTTCAAGTTGTAATTTCTTTTTTTCAATAGGCATAAACTGCAGTTAAGGCTTGGTGGGAAAGAACTACAAAAACGTTTTCAACATTATAGTTTTCTTCAAAATTTTTTGGGTTCAGTTGGATTATTGAGTAAAAATCTATAACTTTTCCATGTTGTGAAATCACTCATCCACCTACCATTCTTACCATTCCCAATTTATTAATTGATGGCTTCAGCGAATGTTGTTTTGTGAATATTGAAGTGAGAAGCACTAAAGCGTTCTAAATTTATTTACTTTATTTTTTGCCATTTTCTTATTCCATTTTAATACTGACTTCATTTAACTTACAAATATAAAGTAAAGGAGTGGTTTGGCGCAATTGAAATAGTGTTGAGCGATAAATAAAACTCGAAGTAAAGTGTCACGAATGAAACAAGAAATTTACAGCGCAAAGAAATCGAATGTTTCATGACCACAAAAAAGGGTAATGCTGGAATGGTTATAATGAAATTGCAAGACAAGTGAAAATGTGTAAGAGAGAGGTCCGAGAAAAAAGAAAAGCTTACGGAATTGGAGGAGGAAATTTGCATGGAAAGAGAATGACTGTGAGTCCGAGAGAGGATTTGTATATTGGCAAAGGAATGGACGCAGCGTACATACATACAAAATGCCAAGAAACTCTTTGCCATATTTCAAGCTGCTCTGCTACATCTACTATATAACACAACTGTGAGCTGCGCGCGTAGGAAAGGGAGTAGTTGAGTTCGTTGAATTCAAAAGAAAAAAGTCATTCAATTTATAGCCATTGTATAAGTCACATTTGGTCTCGCGCGCCCTCAGAGCACACGCTGGTAAGTAAAGGAAGCAATATTCACTGGTGACACATTGCACCAGCGATACCCCATTGGCAATCGGCAAGCAGCAATCGACCAGCAGCAGCGGCGAGTCATTACTCAACACATTGGCAATTTTCTGCGCGCAGGAGGAGCAATTTTCGTAGTCGAAGTGAATGAAAAACGTAAAGCAAAAGATTGTAGCTAGCAAAAGCATTACTTTCCACTTGCATTACTTGGTGGGTGTGCCATATGCGCCAATATTCACGCATTTGGCAAATGAGCTATTTTTCTGAGTGCACGGACCACCAACACACATACACACATAAACACACATGCGGTATGCGTAGAAGTTATGGGTGGTATCAACGCAAATTTGTGTCAGTTGCAAGGAACTGCTGCCCGCAAGACTAAATTTAAAAAAGTATTTTCTTTTTGTTTCACGACTTCATGCATGTGTAAAGGGAAGGATAGAAAAGATACATGACATGTTATTGCCCCTGCGAGCGCAGCAGGAATGTGTGAAAAATTACTAGGAGCTATTTACTAGGGGTTCGTGCAACGCAACGAAGAGGGGCGGGTCAAAAGGCCATTAGCGAACTCTATGCCTGCAAAACGGCTATAGTCAAGAAGTGCGAGTCTCAAACTGGATTTATTCAGTATTGGTACATCCTATATTTTTCTTCGGCATCACATTCTTGTGGACATCACTGGATAATTCGCTCACTAATTCTAAACTTACCAAGATTTCAAAGGGCGGTATGCATGCTAATCACAGATGCGCTACCATCCATACCCACCAAAGCCATAGAATCACTCCTAAACTTTCTGCCAGTAGACTTTTTGGGAAGCTACAGGCGAGCTGCACTGCAGTAAGAATAAATGCACTGTCAAATGGAAAGACACCAGATTCGGTCACACCAGCATTCCAACCAACTAATCCAATACGTTTAGGTCCTTATATTACACAACACCACCGCTAAAGCTCGAGAACAAGTTCTCTACTTTTACACCTTCGAAGAAGTACTGGGAGAACTTTTCGGACTTGATCCCCCAAGATAACTCCACAGCCATCTACATGAATGGCTCTAAACTATATCTCAGAGTAGACAGTGTGTTACACTCGAAGGACCTCTTATTAGACCTCTGCTTTAGGCTACCAAACAAATGCAGAGACTTCTAATACAAACTCGTGGCTATAAAAGAGGAAGCACTTTGGCTTATCGAATCTTCTCTTAGCTTGTCTTCAGTAACTATATACTCCGTTAGCCAAGCAGCTATCAAGTCAGTAGATTGCTCTGATCGTCATCAATAACTGCGATAGAATGTAGGATAGTCCTTAATGATCTAGCTCCAAAGTCTACTACTCACAGTGCATGGGTGGCACAGCGACATTCAAAGTAATTTTTCAGCGGACGAGCTTGCGAGGAAGGAAATCACCCTGTCTGACGTCAACTCTTACGCGGCGGGCAGCCCGCTACCTACTTGCAAGACATAGCTCAAGACATATGTGGTCGAGAAGACAAATGAAAGATGGTCGGAAGAGCCCGTGGAAAACTACCTATGTTACTGCGCTGCCCATTCGTGGGCTAGGAAACGCTCATTTCATCACCAGTAAAGCAGGAATTCACGAACCTAACTAACTGGTTCTACTTTTAGGTGAACGGACGGGTTCGAATTGGTATCGCAACGAGCCCGCTGAGCCTAAGTGTACCTCCCTCTCCTACGTTGGATGAAGGCAGATGCTTCAACCCAGCCCAACCTTCTAGGGCTTCCAAGTGTATAGAATTTTTCATAGAAATATATGTACAAAAAGAAATAAATGCAACTAAAGGTCAATGCAAAATCCATTTTGCTCTTTAACTATCATATTGAGACAGCCTTTTTGATCAGTCTATTCAGTGTGCAAAGAATTTTTATTTTTAAGTGTGTGGTTGTTCGGCAATCCTTCTATGCTACATTATTGTCTTGGCATTGGGACTGTACAGCGTGGCTACGAATAACTGTTACCCCGTTTTTTTTTGAGAAATAAAAGGGTC